CCCCCCGGCGTGTCCGTTGTTGAATCAACTTAAAAGGTATGATTTTTCTACCGAGCTTTAGAAATTTCAATTTTATTATTATTTATTGTTGAATTTGGTTCAACCCTAATTATGATAAACAATAAACGAGTTCAGTTCTAAAAACCCTAACTCAACTACATGTTAATTCATTTGAGCAACACTAGTAATCATTATAAGAACTTATCTAACACAATGGATAATTATAGTTGTTATCCTTGTCATGTATAAATTTATATTACAATGTTCACTCATAAATATAACTACAAATGAACCACAAATATAAAAAGGCTTAATCGAATTTAAATATTTTGATAGGTTTAATAGTAAATTTAACAAATTGTAAGAGTTAAAATGTTTTAAAATTCGCATTGCATGAGAGTTTTTGAGGGAGAATTATCATGTTTGCATGACTGAGGGTACTTGATGAGAGCCCCATATTACTTCACACCACCAACAAATCAAGTAGTGTTAAGCCTCTACACAATCACCGACAAATCTAATACTATTATAAAAGTGTGTTACCATGTTAAAACATTTCTTTCGAAAATACCCTCCAAGTCAAGCTAAAACACATACATGCATGCATAAAAACACATATACGAATACATAAAACACATACTTACATAAACCATACCCCTTCAAATCTTTTTCATAACCACCAATTAAATTAAATGTAATAAATACACCTCCAATTTGTATTCACTATCATTAGAAAATTAATTCAATTAAACTCCTTCTTTATTGTTATATAATAATAACTCAATATAATAATATATATTAACATGTACTAAAGAAATGATAATAAAAAATAAATATTTATAAGATTAATAGGAATATTAAACATTTGATGTTAATAAACCAATAAATACTTATCAATATATTAATAATTATTTATAATATATCAAGTATATCATGAGTAAGTATAAAAGTCCCAAGACAACAAGGCATTCGGATTCTTTTACAGGCATTTACTCCGTAATCAATAGATATGGGTGTGCGTTATAATTCTTTCAGTTTATAACAACTTATTGCCGTAATCAATAGATATGGGTGTGCGTTATAATTCTTTCAGTTTATAACAACTTATTGTTAAAAATAATAAATACATACATGTTTTTCGGTGTGCGTTATAATTCTTTCAGTTTATAACAACTTATTGTTAAAAATAATAAATACATACATGTTTTTTCAGTAACATGCAAACAGAATTGTAGGTTGTCTAAAAATCACTGCAGATAGCTTATCCCCATCAAACACTGATGATGGAAGTTATAATTTGACGGCTTCCAGAAGGCTACAATTTAAAGACTTTCACGTAGATCGATGGAGGTTACAATCTGACGACCTTCACAGCAACTGATGAAAGCTCTATTCAACAGCCTTTACAATAAACATCAGGAGTGACAGTCTAACAACTCTTATATTTTCAAGGAGCCAAGACGAAGGTTGCAATATGATGATCTTTGCAACGCTCTAGCAAAAGAGACTACAAATTGACAGTCTCTTCAAATCAAAACGCGGATATCTCTTAAACCGGAGAGAATTTAGTGAAACAAACGGCACAAACCCCCTTTGAGGTTTGGTTGGCTCTGTCTCATCGAGATAGCCAATTTTTATATATAATTAGTCCAATTTCGACTTACAATTTGAAAGTTATGACATGTTCTTCGCAGCAAGTTATGTTATGAAGTCCGTCTGCAAGACTGGACTTCGCCTGAACATTGGACTTAGTCTGAAGCTCGTCAAGCCCACCTAAGGCTCACCTCTACATCCCAGATTCAAAACGTAGAGGTCGTGCCCGCGTTTCAAGTTCAAAACACAGGGTTCATCCCCAGCGTTCAAGTTCAAAACGCAGGATTCATCCCCATCGTTCTAATTGAAAACGCAAAGGTCATTCCCGTGTTTCAAGTTCAAAACGCAGGGTTCATCCCCAGCGTTCAAGTTCAGACACAGAGTTCATTGCTACATTCCAGACTCAAAACGTAGAGTTCATGCAGAGCCCAACTCTACGTCTCAGGTTCAGAACGCAGAGTTCATTTCTGCGTCTCAGATTCATAACGCTATGCGAACACTACGTTTTTAGCCTTAAGCGCATGTCCAACTCTGCGTTTCAGGTCTAAAATATAGAGTTCGGCCCAGAACGCCAGTTTCGACGTTTGACTCATTCAACACGAGTTAAACGGTTCTAGACACCATTTTCTCCCCACGATTTGAGGGGATTACCACCCTATCATGGAGAGATTTGTGGGGGCGGTTACACCCCATTAAATCCTTATTAAGAAGAGATTTAAGGGGCGGTTACACCCCTAAATCCCCTATAAATAGTTGGAAACTCAACTGAGTTCAGGATCAGGAATTTTAGAGATCAAAAGGCTCTCTCTTTTCTGGATCAGAATTCTTAGAGATCGGCACAAGGTTTCTTGGCAGAAGAAGGATCTCGACAATCTTCAGATCCTCGAAGTTGTTCTTGGAGCTTTCATTAATCTTGGCTTATTAATCGAATTTTCAGTTCAAATCAACTCTGTTACAGAGTTTAAACTCGCTCTGAGTTCTTTAACTCGTCAAGAGTTAATTTCAAACTTACCACGCAAGTTATCCTCGATATCAATCAAGAGGAATCAACCACATTCTAGTGAAATAAGATGTTCGAATCATCAACGAAGAGCAAACTCGACGCGAGCATTCGAGGGAGACACTCCATCGCCACCGTGAAGAACCCAGAATAAGGATTAATTAAGGTAACTGGGCAATCTCCAGTTGCCATGTCTATTGGAGATGTTCAAGCGCTATCTGATATGTCTTATCATTTCTTCATTGATATATGGCTGAGTGTTCGGATTTAAAATTAGTAACGGAACATGTAACATGTTGCAAATGATTTGGTATGAGGGAATCTCTTTTTAGATTTTTTCCGGACACCAGAACCATGCCTTACCCGAAACAATTTTGATATGGGCCGCCCCGGTTTGGCCCATTACCATATGGGCTTTTGTAGACCCGGAATGCGTCCCAGAAGCCAGTTCAGCCTCCTCATCAGTCATGAACCCTAAGCTAAACCTTTCGTTCCCGATCCTTCTTCCTCCTCCCTCCCCTCCTCTTCTCTTCTCTCATCCCCAAAATGCACAGAGTCAAGAGATGGATGCTCGTTCCCTCGTATTCAACCCTGCGCTCTCTCCTCCGACCTTCTTCTTCTTCTTCTTCTTCTTCTTCTTCTTCATCATATTCGTATTCCTCCGATCCCTCAATTTCAAAAGGCCCAGTCACCCAAGAATCAGTGGTCTACGTCCTTAAACAGCTGGACAAGAAACCCCCCAAAGCTCTCGAGTTCTTCAAGCACGTCACCTCCGTCCACGGCTTCAAGCCCGGCCCCACCGCCTACAACCTCATCCTGCGCATCCTCGGCGGCCACCCCGACCACTCTTCTGATTTCTGGCTCCTCCTCAGATCCATGGACTCCTCCGGCCACTCCCTCGATGACGGTACCTACTTAAACCTCCTCTCTAAATTCAAGACCCAGAAAATGCCTGCAGAGGTCTCTGCCCTCTCTCACTTCTACTCTCAGAAACGCAAGGACTCTGCTGCCGATGCCACCGTAGAAAGGGTCTCCAAAGCCCTCCTCCTCACCAGCTCCTCTGAGCCTTGTTGGGATGAGGAGGAGGTCGAGAAGAGAGTGCGAGAAATACATGATTTCCATCTATCCGGAACATTGGTGGCAAAAGTGCTTAGGGAAGTTAGGAATTCTCCTTTGAAGGCTTTGGCATTCTTCCGGTGGTCTGCTTCTGCTTCTTCTGATTACGAGCACGGCTCTGTTGCTTACAACGCCATGGCTCGAGTTCTCGGGAGAGAGGAGTCCATTACGGAGTTTTGGGAGCTGATTGAGGAAATGACGAGAAAGGGTGTGGTGATGGACGTTGACACTTATGTCAAGATGTTAAGGCAGTTTGTGAAGAATAAGATGGTGGAGGAAGCCGTGAAGCTGTACGAGTTCATGATGGACGGGCCTTACAAGCCTGCTGTCCAGGACTGCGGCATCCTCTTGAGGCACATCTCGTTGAGCGGGAATCCTGATCTCGGTCTTGTTTCAAGGGTTGTTACCAAGTACGAGGCTGCAGGGCACTCTTTGTCTAAGGCGGTCTATGATGGGATCCATAGGTCTCTCACGAGCAATGCCAAGTTTGAGGAAGCCGAGGAGATAATCAAGAGGATGAGAGACGAGGGTTATGAGCCGGATAACATCACGTACAGTCAATTAGTGTATGGACTGTGTAAGGCGAAGCGGTTTGAGGAAGCTTGCATGATCTTGGATAAGATGGAAGAGGAGGGATGTGCTCCGGATCTCAAGACATGGACGGTATTGATACAGGGGCAATGTCAGGCCGGTGAAATTGATATGGCTTTAGAATCCCTGAGGAAGATGCTGAATAAGGGTTGCCAGGCTGATGCTGATCTTCTTGATATAGTGGTCAAGGGATTGTGTGGCGGCCAGAGAAGAGTTGATGGTGCTTGCACTTTGGTCACTGAAATGGTTGCCAAAGCCCGCTTAAGGCCATGGCAAGCGACTTACAAGAATCTAATCCAGGAGCTGTTGAAAGAAAGAAGGCTTGAAGAGGCGTTGAAGATTCTTGGTTCGATGAAGAGTCACAAATATCCACCTTTTGCAGATCCTTTTCCTCCATACATCTCAAAGTTTGGAACCGTCGAAGATGCACGAGAGTTCCTAAAAACATTGTCAGTGAAGACTTACCCCTCACACACTGCATACTTGCATGTTTTCAAGTCCTTTTTCGATGAAGGGAGGTACACTGAAGCCCAAGATTTACTTTTCAAATCCCCGCATCACATTCGCAAGCATTCTGAAATTACCAAGCTGTTTGGGTCTCTTAAAGTTGAGAGTGCTGCCTGATTCATTGAATTGGTTTCTGAGAGTTTAAACATCGTTATTTATGAGCGATATATAATGAGGAGTGTAACTCTTTCGGCCTTTTTCGTTTTGATGCAATGATACAGAACAATGGCTAAGCGTAATGTGTTGACGGATGGGAAGTAATGGGTTTGATTGCCAACCATTTTATGCATAGGGCTAGCAAGTTGCAGATTCAGTTATAGCATACAACCATTTAGCAACGATTTGTAGTTATATTACCTCTCTTTTTTTTTAACCAACATTTTGAAGTGTTCTTACAAGTTACTAGTATGAACATTAGTTCTTCTTCGACATGGTTATTATATGAGACCGAAGTGGTCTCAAATTCCACAAAGAGGACGTGAGTTGGCTTGGGTTCGTCCGTGATGAAGAGAGGAGGCGTCAAAGCTTCACTGGCGACAACAAAGGGCAGAGAGCTTTGTTTGGAAATTGAAGAAGTTTTGTTTTGAGCTTTATATTTAATTGAGGCTTCAAGTCTTCACATCGATCATCCCAGCTAATATTTACCCTAGGTGGACAGTGGTTGGCACCATTAACAAAATAACTACAATTCCTAAATTAACCTTCTAACTAACCTTGAATGGTATAGATCATCTCCACTGTGTGTGCTGCTTTGACTCTCCTNAGGTCGAAGCCGAAGCTGGGATCAAGAAGACGAAGAAAAAATCGAGAAAACAGGAGGAAGCCTGCACCGCGACGCAGTCAGCCAGTTTCCTTATCTGTTTTGGATTCTGTTTCTTCCAGGACTCTATATATACCTAAACGTTTTTAGGGCTAAAAAGAACACGAAAAAGAGAGTTTTTTTACTGTAGAAAGAGAGAGAATCTCAGAGAGAGAAAATCCTAGGTTGAGAGTTTGTATTTCTTCTTCAATTAATAAAAGAATTGTGTGGTGTGGCTCCTGAGGACGTAGGCACGTTTGTCGAATCTTGTTAAATCTGGTGTGTTCATCTCCTTTACTCTTTTACAAGCACTGTTTTAAAAAACCTCCGCCTAGTCCGCTTAGGCGTACGCCTAGGCCTAGGCGGTACCTAGGCCGCCTAACTAGCGCCTAGCGCTTAGGCGGTATTTAGGCTGCCCACCTAGATTTTACGAACGTTTAGGGGAGCATTGGCTGCTTACGTGGATTGCACTCTGTAGGCCTTGATTGTGATTTTATGTGTCGTAGCCTACACGTCCTCCAAACTCCATTAACCTCCAAATATGAACACCTTCACTACCTTCTCCGACCTTCAGCAAAACCTCATCGACCACCACTTAAATGAAGAAAAAAAAACGCTCAGAAACCACTTAGGCGCCCGCCTAGGTGACTAAGCGCTGGACGTCAAGTCCGACGCCTAGAAACGTCCAGCGTTTAATGTAACATTGTTTACAAGTTTTGATCTAATTTGTGGTGAATTTTCTACTTTCCTACTTTCAATACAAGGCCCGGAAGGGCAAGGGTTCGATTGATTGTTTCGAAGCCCCAACAACTGGTATCAGAGTTTCGTTTAGCAATTTGTGTGAAAACCATGACAGAGGAAAACAAATCAAAGATCGAGAAGTTTGACGGTTCAGACTTCGCCTACTGGAAATCACAGATGGAGGACTATCTGTACCAGAAGGACTTGTATCGTCCGTTGATGGGCAAGGAGAAGGGACAGAAGAAAGAGGAGTCAGATGGTGATTGGGAGATACTGGATAGGAAAGCTCTAGGGCAAATCCGGTTGTCGTTCGTCAAATCAGTAGCACACAACGTATTAAAGGAGAAGACGACGGTGGGGTTTATGGAAGCGCTCGCGAAGATGTACGAGGAACCGTCGGCAACAAACAACGTGCATCTCGTCAAAACTCTTTTCAACCTCAAGATGACAGAAGGACAGTCCTTCACGATGCACCTCAGCGAGTTCAACACGATTGTTGATCAACTTATCTCCGTAGACATCACGTTTGATGACGAAGTACAGACCTTATTGTTACTATTGCAGTTGTCGGATAGTTGGGCAGGTTGTGTGACGGTAATCAGCAATTCGGCGGGGAAGGAAAAGTTGAAGCTGGGTGAGGTGGTTCGCATGATTCTATCCGAGGAGGTTAGAATGAAATCGTCTGAATCAGAAGGTTCAGGTTTAGCTCTAAGTTTCGAGCAGAGAGGCATAAGCCAGAAGAAAGGAAACCAGAACAAGAATCGGTCAAAATCAATAAAGAAGAGGTCGAACTCGAAGGTTAGGCCTATCAAAGGGAAGTGTTGGAACTGTGGTCAGGAGGGCCATATGTCTTCAGTCTGCAAGAGTCCAAAGAAGGATGCGGATGAGTAGCAGGCTCATATCGTACAGGATGTCTTGATTCTTGCTATGGACAACGACTCGGATTCTTAGGTCATCGACTCAGGAGCCTCTTTCCACGCCACTACTAACAGGAAGCTTCTTTAAAAGTATGTAGCAGGGACTTTGAAAAAATATATTTGGGGAATAACGAGCCATGTAATATTGTTGGAAAGGGTGAAGTACAGATTCAGATGAAGGGCTCTAAGTGGACCTTGAAGAACGTGAGACACGTGCCGAAGCTGAAGAGAAATCTTGTTTCGATGGGACAGCTTGGAACAAAAGGCTATGTTTCGACATTCACAGGGGATTCGTGGAGAATCTCCAACGATGCGATGATAGTTGCTCGAGGCGACAAACTCGGGACTCTATACCTCACCTTACATGCGAGTGACACCCTCGCAATTGTAGCTGGCAAAGAGAGTACAGATCTGTAGCACAACAGGCTAGGGCACATGAGCGAGAAGGAGATGAAGACTGCATCTTTAGGAAGCAGAAGAGGGTTAGTTTCCAGAAGGGTGGAAGGTCACCTAAGGCTCAGAAGCTAGAGTTGATTCATACAGATGTATGGGGTCCAGCCAGTGTGTCTTCTTTTGACGGTTCGAGATATTATGTCACCTTCATCGACGATCACTCGAGGAAGGTGTGGGTCTATTTTATGAAGCACAAGTCAGAGGTGTTCGGAGTCTTCAAGAGGTGGAAGGTCATGGTGGAGAACGAGACAGATCTGAAGGTGAAGTGTCTGAGATCAGACAATGGTGGAGAATATGAACTAGAGGAGTTCAAGAGGTTCTGTGCTACGAATGGGATTCGATTAGAGAGGACTACTCCAGGGACGCCGCAGCAAAACGGCATTCCAGAGAGGATGAACAGAACCTTGACAGAGCATATCAGGAGCATGCGATTACGTACAGGTCTGCCTAAGATATTTTGGACGGATACGGTGCATACGGCAACTTATCTTATTAATCACGGCCCATCAGTTCCATTAGATTTTGGAATTCCAGAGGATGTTTGGAGTGGCAAAAATGTTAATCTCTCACACCTGTGGGTATTTGGTTGTGTGGTTTATGTTCATATCAGTAACCACGTCAGAGACAAGCTAGAGGCTAAGTCACAAAAGTGTACATTCATTGGATACGACATTGATGAGTTCGGGTATCATCTTTGGGATGAGAAGAACAAGAAGATCATCAGGAGCCGAGACGTCATATTCAATGAGAAGATGTACAAGGATAGAGAAATTGCCAAGGATAGCCAAAGAGTAGGAGCAGCACTTCAGATGCAGGTGGATCCGAGTACATGGATATAGAGGAACTTCCAGATAGGGGTGATGATGTTTGTTCTGACCGAAGAATGGAGGAGACTCCAGGTGCAGAAGCAATTACCCAAGGCGTGAAGCTTAGGATGTCATCCAGGGTACCCAAACTGAATCCTAGATATCCTTCATCTATTGATTACTTATTGTTGACAGATAGCGGTGAATCAGAGTGTTATGAGGAGGCTATGTAAGTGAGTGAATCTCAGCAGTGGGAACATACGATGCAGGAGGAGATGGATTCTCTACTCACTAATGAGACATGGGAGTTAGCCCAGCTACCTGCACAGAAGAATGCCTTACATAACAAATGGGTCTATCGGGTCAAGCAAGAGAGTGATGAAATTAAGAGATTCAATACCAGATTAGTAGTGAAGGGGTTTCAATAGCGGGAAGGAGTGGACTACACGAATATATTTTCCCCTGTTGTGAAGCTCACAACCATCAGAGTGGTGTTGAGTTTGGTAGCTGCTGAAGATCTCTTTCTTGAGCAGTTAGATGTGAAGACTGCATTTCTTCATGGTGACTTGGATGAAAAAATCTACATGAAACAGCATGTTGATTTCATTAAAAAAAAGGAAGAGATGGTATGCAAGCTCAAGAAGAGCTTATATGGTTTGAAACAGACTCCGAGACGGTGGTATAAGAAGTTTGATAACTTCATGCAAAACAATGGCTACAGAAGATACAATTCGGATCATTGCTGTTATTTCAAATGGTTCGAGTCCAGCTTTATTATCTTGTTATTATATGTTGATGATATGTTGGTAGCAGGACCGTGTTTAGAAGATATAAACAGTTTGAAGAAACAGCTAGCAAAGAAATTTGCAATGAACGATCCGGGTGCAGCAAAGCATATTCTAGGGATGCGAATCAGTAGGGATGAAGCTGAAGGGACATTGAGATTGAGCCAAGCTGAATACATTGAGAAGGTACTTCAGAGGTTTAATATTCAGGATGCTAAAGTTGTTAGCACGCCCATTGGAAGTCAGTTGAAGTTATCTGAGGAGCAATCGCCTAAGACAGATACAGATAGAGAGTATATGAGCAGGGTGTCATATTTTTCGGTCACTGGGAGTCTCATGTACGCGATGGTTTGCACGAGGTCGGACATCGTCCATGCAGGGGGAGTTGTGAGCAGGTTTGCAAGCAATCCAGGGAAGCAGCATTGGGAGGCCGTGAAGTGGATAATGCGGTACTTGAGGGGAACAACGAATAAGCCACTATGTTTCAGGAGGAATGAGTTGGTGCTGTAGGGATACGTGGATGCAGACTTCGCCGGTGATCATGATACGAGGTGAAGCACCATGGGGTATGTTTATACCTTAGCGTCGACAGCAGTGAGCTGGATCTCACATCTACAGAAGATTGTGACTTTGTCTACAATCGAGGTTGAGTATGTCGCGGTGACTGAAGCAAGTAAGGAGATGATCTGGTTGAACGGGTGTTTGGAAGAGTTGGATCTGAAGTAAGGGAGAAGAGCTCTTTATTGTGATAGCCAGAGCGGAACATGTCGACGTAAAATACCATTTTATACGCTCGCTAGTTGAAGACGGAAAGTTACATTTGATGAAGATTTTGGGGAGTCAAAATCCGGTGGACATGTTAACAAAGGAGAAACTAGAGTTGTGCGCAACTTCAGTCGGCCTTCACGAGTAAAAGACGAAGGCGGAGCCACACACGAGAATCGGCGAAATCGTCGAGATATTGTTGATTGAAGAAATGTTTTTCCGGGTAGGAGAAGATACATGCGAAAAAGGGGAGAGTTCGGGTAAGCTCGCTGATGACACTTTGGTCTCCAAGTGGGAGATTGTTAAAGTGTAGACCCAAAGTCGAAGCCGAAGCTAGAATAAAAAAGATGAAGAAAAAATCGAGAAAACAGGAGGAGACCTGCAAGGTCAACCGCGACGGTCGATCGCGAACGTGCACAGAGCGGGTAGAGCCTGGAGCTGAAGACGGTGGACCGCGGCGATCGACCGCACAAATCTCTGTAATGGATTTTGGTCTCGGGTTTTGGTTCGATCGATCGCCGCGGACGACCGTGGATATTCTGTAGGATTTTTTTGGGCTCTGTCGTTTGATACGGTCGACCGTCGCGGTCGACCGCGATACCTGAGCGGTCAATCGCGACGCAATCAGCCAGTTTCCTTATCTGTTTTGGATTCTGTTTCTTCCATGACTCTATATATACCTAAACGTTTTTAGGGCTAGAATGAACACGAAAAAGAGAGCTTTTTGACTGTAGAAAAGAAAGAGAATCTCAGAGAGATAAAACCCTAGTTTGAGAGCTTGTATTTCTTCTTCAATTAATAAAAGAATTGTGTGGTGTGGCTCCCGAGAACGTAGGTACGTTTGCCGAACCTCGTTAAATCTGGTGTGTTCATCTCCTTTACTCTTTTACAATTTTTGATCTAATTTGTGGTGAATTTCCTACTTTCCTACTTTCAACACAATGTCCGGAAGAGGAAGAGTTCGATTGATTGTTTCGAATCCCCAACAGAAAGGGCATTATTGGTTTTTCTTTTTCTTTTTTTCCTTTTGGATTAAATACGTTACACAGAAACCTTCAATTCTTCACACATCTTTATTTTGTCCTCAAATAGATGAGCAGACAAAACAACCCATCTTGTTATTCTAATTGCAGTAAAGGGTTAATAGAAAATTTAGGTTTTTTTTATATAAAACCTATGTATCCCAAATTTATAGTATTTGCAGATTTATCACTCAAATCTAAGTTTTTGCTAATTATTCATTTATTCTTTCATATTGGATTAAATAGCCTCATAGGTTTCTGTTAAAAATATGCCTATTGTATTGCTCATATTCCATTAAATGATTGGTGCTTAAAAAAGACTATTATGAGCCTAGTTAAATTAATTTGCAATTGTGTTTAGTGAGAGAAGGGATTCAGCTAGGGGATGAGTTTGAGTTATGGAGAGAGGAAAGAGAGATGATTGAGGGAGGGGGGTAATTTTATCATTTTATCCTTCATTTAGTTAAAAATTAACACTTTGGGATGAGAGGATTACTTTAACAACACTAAGGACTCTTCGGCTCGAATAAGAATCCTAATCAGAATCATCCTTATAGGAGTAGTTCATTTGCATCATAGATGGAATAGTTACAAATTAACCTCCCAACTACCGTAAATGGTATGGATTAATACCCTTCTATGAAAGAGGATTCTGATGGAATCTGCAAACGAATTCACGGTTGGGTGACATGGTGTTGGTGTTGGCTTCTACACTTTCTCTCTTGCCCCATCTATTACGCGTCGAACATGCACGCATCATTTTCGATTCTTGTTTATTTTGTGAAAGCAAAACCCTTAGCCTCCTCCTCGCGTTTCCTCTTCGCACCCAAAAAAGAAAAATCTATCTTTCGCTCAAACGTGATCCGAACGCAGTCAGTGTAACGTCCCATGGCCACCCAACCTCCCGCCAATTTATCCTCTATTACTTTACTTTTAATTAAAAGAAAAACAAAAACTCCCCTCACTCTAAAGAATTTAGACCATTAGCCATTGAATGGAGTTGTACCAGGAAATGGGGCTCCACAGCATGCCAAATGCTGATGATGCCTTCTTTTGCTTGGTATTTTTCGCAGGGGTTATAATGCCGTAGGTCCTGCTCAAGGATTGGATCATCATTCAATGATAGGCGATGAGGAGCCCGTTCGAGATTCAACACAAACTATGAGGCTGCACTTTAATGGTGACGATGGCGTTCTTAGAGATAGGATGCTCGTAGGAGAGGAGACAAGGCAGTTCAAGGACTTGTGCTTTGGTTACGATGATGAAGACGACGATATGGAGTGCTGCGTTGTTTGTCTACATGAGTCCGATAAGGACGCGGAGATAAGTCAAGTATCACAGCATGCAGCCACTTCTTCCACCGGGCTTGTCTTGAAAGCTGGCTGTCGGATCACTGCGGCTCCACCTGCCCTCCCTGTTGCATGCCCATCTCTTCGTTTTCACTGTAACGCATTTCATGATTAGCCTCTGTTCTTCACTCAGGCCTTCTATGCTTTTGTTTTTGGGTCTGTGAGAATGGCTTGTAACATGGGAGAACAAATAAAACAAGGTTCTTTTTTTACTTTGTACCCATGACTTCTCAGTTAGTGTTGCAGTGCATACTAGTTAATGATGATTCAAAGCAAAAAATGAATAAACCGTTAGTACAAAGTCAGCCCAATGGTATCAAATTGAATAAGCAAACTTGATAGAAAATTTCAGTCGATTAGTTAAAGGAAATAAAAATCGAGGTTTTGCCATAAGACGGTCTTAAATTGGTGATGCCACTACTGCTAATCATAATTGGACAACTGCGCTATGACTTTGTGATCCGCCAACCTAGAAGACCATATTCAATTGCCCATCTGAAAGGCTGCTGAGTAAAAGCCTACTATATTTTAAAAGTGAAAAGGAAAAAAAATATTATCAAGAGTTGGAAATTTTTGCACCGAGAGGCCTCGAGGTACTCAAGATTGCTTTTGTGCAAAGCCAGGATTATGACAAAAACTGTTTCCTAATTTAAACCATGCGCACCTTGACTTGATGAATGTTACACCAAAATACGCACAAGCTTTAAAAAGATCTTATAAGACGGCAATATACAACAAAGCAATGGCTATAAGCGAACAAAAACAACAAAATTTACAGAGAGCACATTATGATGTTAAGCATGCAGCTCAGACAGCTCTCTTCGCGCAGTCTCTACTAATGTGCATAGAAAATTCCTAGGATCACAGTTGTAAGGATTGGTAATATCAGCATGTGTTAAAAATGGAAGTTTTCTCAGTGCTCTCCCACTTAATCCCTGAATAGAATTTCAAAACCTGATCATCAGAAAAGTGTTTGCCTCTTATTGCCGCGAACAACAAGCACATAATCAGACCTTACCTGGCATGCTTCCGCAGCTTCAAGCAATAGTCTGGAGAGCTCAAGTGAACTTTGATGTTCAGTTGCCTCAGAAGAATGCAGCTTCTCCTTTAAGGTTGAATAGTTTGGGAGCAAAAGATGATCATGATCCTAAACAAGCAAATACTGGGATATCAGTCCGATTACAAATGGAGAAGATCAATTGTAGGCGGCACGATCAGGAAGTATAGGTAGGTCTCTCCTGGTAATACATTTATCAGAGTTCCTGTTTGCGTGTGCCTTTTGGAAGTTCATCACAGAAAAGATGCCTACAAACATCTCACCCAAAATATTTTAGCTTCTGCCGAGCCACCCAAACATTCAGCCATTCATTCAGAAAACACAGCCATATGTACGGGCACGCACCAAAAGTTTTTTTTTTTAATAAAGAGGTACTGTTTAATGAAAATGAGCATTCGCTATAGAAAAATGAAATACCTGAGAGCATTCGAGAATCCCAGAACGGACAAGTTCTTGAATACAGGACCTCAATATCTCATATCGTGCTTGAAGAGTAGGAGGGCCGACATATGCCTTGATATCCGCTCGGTCAACAAACGCAATATCTGCATTCTCAGTACAAGTGAGCTAGCTCATTTTTATGAAAAGGCAACATTGTATGTAACAAATGACGACTATGAGGAACACATATACCATGCAGTTGACAAGTTCTTGTAAGAAATCTTTATTTAGAAAATGATTAAAATTGTTAACATAGCCAAGCATACAACAGATGAGGCTCTTCATTGTACAGGATTCTAAGGACTACTAAAAAGTCCAACCCACTTGAAAGAATGGTAGTGGAAGGGAACAATGTAACAAGGTAGAAAGTATCCTTATCCCTATCTTTGACCAGAGTTTCTGTACCACGTGTGATTTAGGCTGACTGCAAGGATGCAGCCAAAGTTATTTGTTGCGTGGTTGCTTAAACCATCTCATTCTCTTGTTTTTCAAAGCAGAAATTCTTTCATTATGAAATATTATGTGATTTCTCATTGTGGCTGTCTGGCGCGGCATCCCCAACCTCGTAATTAAGTACTTCCAACATTTTAATTAGTCGTTTAAACTTCGTTTTGTGCCTAATTGTGGAAATTCTGGCATCCTATCGAGGAAAATGGGTCTAGATATGTTGGTGTTGAGAGTGGAGACCCAACCCTAAAATCAAAATCAACAAACACATGAAAAATAAGCAAGACAGACTCCACCACACCCTGATGTGGTGTCTGCCACACCCATGTGGCAGGGTGTGGCAGAATCTGCCATGTTTGTCATGGGTGTAGTGTCTGTCACACACTGGTATGGCAGAATCTGTCATGTTTGTCATGGGTGTAGTGCGCGTCACACCCGAATGTGGCAGACTCGTTTTAGAATTCTAATCTGTTTAAGATTGTGTTTTGATATAGACAGAAACACGTCCCTTTAGGGTTTATGAGAGAAAAAGAACACGAAAAAAGAAGGTTTTGAGGGCTCTTTGAGATCAGAAATCCTAGAGAGAGAGAGGCCAATTGCAAGCATTGTAATCTTCTTCAATTAATCAAAGAATTGTGTGATGTGGCTCCCGAGGACGTAGGCACGTTGCCGAACCTCGTTAAATCTGGTGTGTTCTTTCTTGTTATTATTTCTTGTAAGTTTTCATCTTTGATTTGTGATGAATTTCTTTCTTGCTCAACTCTCAAACACAAGATCCGGAAGGGTACGGATTCGATTTGATTGTTTCGAATCCCCAACAACTGGTATCAGAACTTCGTTCAGCAAACGTGTGAGAGAGAGTCATGGCAGAGGAAATCAAATCTAAGATCGAAAAGTTTAACGGTTCAGACTTCGCCTAATAGAAGTCACAGATGGAGGACTATCTGTACCAGAAGGACTTATATCGCCCGTTGATTGGCAAAGATAAGGGATAGAAGAAAGAGGAGTCAGACGATGATTGGGAGATAATGGATAGGAAAGCTCTAGGGGAAATCCGGTTGTCGCTCGCCAAGATAGTCGCACACAACATATTGAAGGAGAAGACGACGGTAGGACTTATGGAAGCGCTCCCCAAGATGTACGAGCAACCGTCTGTAGCAAACAAGGTGCATCTCGTCAAAACTCTTTTCAACCTCAAGATGACAGGACTTCAAGATACACCTCAGCGAGTTCAACACGATTGTTGATCAACTCACCTCCGTAGATATCACGTTTGATAACGAAGTACAAGCCCTATTGATTCTATCGCAGTTATCGGATAGTTGGACAGGTTGTGTGCCGGCAATCAATAATTCGACGGGGAAAGAGAAGTTAAAACTGAGTGAGGTTGTTAGCATAATTCTATCTGATGAGGTTAGAAGGAAATCGTCTGAATCAGAAGGTTCAGATTCAGCTCTAAGTTTCGAGCAGAGAGGCAGAAGCCAGAAGAAAGGGAACCAGAACAGGAATCAATCGAAGTTGAAGAAGAGGTCGAACTCGAATGTTAGGCCTACCAAAGGGAAGTGATGGAACTGCGGCCAGAAGTGTCATACGTCTTCAGTCTGTAAAAGTTCAAAGAAGGATGCAGGTGAGCAGGAGGCTCATATCGTGCAGGATGCTTTAATCCTTGCTACGGACAGCGATTCGATTTTTAGGTCATCGACTCAGGATACGTTTCGACATTCACCGGGGATTCATGGAGGATCTCCAGCGGTACGATGGTTGTTGCCCGAGGTAACAAAACAGGAACGCTCTACCTCACATCACATGCGAGTGACACCCTCGCAATTGTAGCTGGTAAAGAGAGTACGGATCTGTGGCACAACAGATTGGGACACATGAACGAGAAAGGAATGAAAATTCTACATTCACAGGGAAAGCTAACCGGGATCGATTCCGTGAAAGTCGGGATTTGTGAAGACTGCATCTTTGGGAAGCAGAAAAGGGTTAGTTTCCAGAATGGTGGAAGGTCACCTAAGGCTCAGAAGCTAGAGTTGACTCATACAGATGTATGGGGTTCAGTCAGTGTGTCTTCTTTTGACGGTTCGAGATACTATATCACCTTTATCGACGATCACTCGAGGAAGATGTGGGTTTACTTCATGAAGCACAAGTCAGAGGTGTTCGAAGTCTTCAAGAAGTGGAAGGTCATGGTGGAGAACGAAACAGATCTGAAGGTGAAGTGTCTGAGATTAGACAATAGTGGAGAATATGAGCTGGAGGAGTTCAAGAGGTTCTGTGCTACGAATGAGATTCACTTAGAGAGGACTACTCCAGGGACGCCGCAGCAGAACAGCATTACAGAGGATGAACAGAATCTTGACAGAACGTGCCAGAAGCATGCGATTATATGCAGGTCTGCCTAAAACATTTTGAACAGAGGCGGTGCATACGGTGGTTTACCTTATTAATCATGGGTTCATCAGTTCCATTGGATTTTGAGATTTCAGAAGAGGTTTGGAGTGGCAAGAAGATCAATCTCTCACATTTGTGGGTATTTAGCTGCGTGGCTTATGTTCACATCAGTGACCATATCAGGGACAAGCTAGAAGCTAAGTCGCAAAAATGTACATTCATTGGGTACGGCATTGATGAGTTCGGGTATCATCTTTGGGATGACAAGAACAAAAAGATCATCAGGAGCCGAGACGTCATATTCAATGAGAAGATGTACAAGGATAGAGAAATTACCAAGGATAGCCAAAGAGTAGGAGCAGCACTTCAAATGCAGGTGGATCCGAGTACATGCATATAGAGGAACTTCCAGATAAGGGTAATGATGTAGGGTAATGATGTTTGTTCTGACCGAAGAATGGAGGAGGCTGCATGTACAGAAGTAATTACCTAAGGCGTGGAGCTTAGGAGATCATTCAAGGTACCCAAACCGAATCCTAGATATCTTTTATCTCTTGATTACTTATTGTTGACAGATAGCGGTGAATCGGAATGCTATGAGAAGGCTATGCAAGTGAGTGAATCTCAGCAGTAGGAACATACGATGTAGGAGGAGATGGATTCTCTACTCACGAACGAGATATGGGAGTTAGCCCAGCGACCTGCACAAAAGAAAGGCTTGCATAATAAATGGGTCTACCGGGTCAAGCAAGAGAGTGATGGAAGCAAGAGGTAAAAGGCTAAATTAGTTGTAAAGGGGTTCCAACAGCGGGAAGGAGTGGACTACACGGAGATATTTTTCCCTGTGGTAAAGCTCACAACCATTAGAGTGGTGTTGAGTTTGGTAGCTGCAGAAGATCTCTTTCTTGAACAGTTAAATATGAAGACGGTATTTCTTCATGATGACTTAGATGAAAAAATCTACATGAAACAGCCTGTTGGCTTCATTAAAGAAGGAAAGAAAGAGATGGTGTGCAAGCTCAAGAAGAGATTATATGGTTTGAAACATGCTCCAAGACAGTAGTACAAGAAGTTTGATAACTTCATGTAGAATAATGGCTACAAAAGATGCATTTCAGATCATTTTTGCTATTTCAAGAGGTTCGAGTCCAGTTTTATTATATTATTATTATATGTTAACATGTTAGTAGCAGGACCGTGTTTAGAGGAGATAAACAGTTTGAAGAAGCAGCTAGCAAAAGAGTTTGTAATGAAGGATCTGGGTGCAGCGAAGCAGATTCTAGAGAGTGAATCAGTAGGGATGAAGCTGAAGGACATTGAGGTGAGCCAAGCTGAATATATCGAGAAGGTTCTTTAGAGGTTCAATATGCAGAATGCAAAGGGTGTTAGTACACCCCTTGGAAGCCATTTCAAGTTATCTGAGGAGCAATCGCCTAATACAGATACAGAAAAAGAGCATATAAGCAGGATGTCATATTCTTCGGTCATTGGGAGTCTCATGTACGCGATGGTTTACACGAGGTCGGACATCGCCCATACAGTGGGAGTTGTGAGCAGGTTTGCAAACAACCCAGGGAAGCAACATTGTGAGGCCGTGAAGTGGATATTACGGTATCTGAGAGGGACAACGAACAAGCCATTATGTTTCAGGAGAAAGGAGTTAGTGCTGTAGGGATACGTGGATGCGGACTTCGTCGGTGATCATGATACGAGGCCAAGCATCACGGGGTATGTTTATACTTTGGCGTCGACAATAGTGAGCTGGGTCTCACGTCTACAGAAGATTGTAACTTTATTTACAGTCGAGGTTGAGTATGTCGCGGTGACTGAAGTAAGCAATGAGATGATTTGGTTGGCTGGATGTTTGGAAGAGTTGGATCTGAAGCAAGGGAGAGGAGTTCTTTATTGTGATAGCCAGAGCACTATACACACCTTGCCAAGAATCCAGTTTATCATGCCAGAACGAAGCACATCGACGTACAATACCATTTCATAAGCTCGCTAATCGAGGACGGGAAGTTACATTTAGAGAAGATTTTGAGGAGTCAAAATCCGACGGATATGTTGACGAAGGCAAACACCATAGAGAAACTGAAGTTGTGCGCAACTTCAGTTGGACTTCATGCGTAAGAGATGAAGTCGGAGCCACACTAAAAGGATTGTTGGGATCGTCAGGTTGATGATTGAAGAATAGATTTTTCAAAGTAGAAGAAGATGCTTGTGAAGAAGCCGGAGTTCGGGCGAGCTCATTGATGGTTGTTTAGTCTCCAAGTGGGAGATTGTTGGTCTTAAGAGTGGAGACCCAAACCTAAAATCAAAATCAACAAACACGTAAAAAATAAGCAAGACAGACTTCACCACATCCTGATGTGGTGTCTGTCACACCCATGTGGCAGGGTGTGGTAGAATCTGTCCTGTTTATCATAGGTGTGGTGTCTGTCACACCCTGGTATGGCAGAATCTGTCCTGTTTGCCATGGGTGTGGTGCGAGTCACACCCGGGTGTGACGTACGTCATACCCGGGTGCAGCAGACTTGTTTTAGAATTCTAATCTGTTTGGAATTGTGTTTTGATATAAATAGAAACACGCCCCTCTAGGGTTTATGAGAGAAAAAGAACACGAAAAAAAAGGTTTTGAGGGCTCTTTGAGATCAGAAATCTTAGAGAGAGAGAGGGGCAAATTACAAGCATTGTAACCTTCTTCAATTAATCAAAGAATTGTGTGGTGTGGCTCCCGAGGATGTAGGCACGTCGCCGAACCTCGTTAAATCCGGTGTGTTCTTTCTTGTTCTTATTTTTTGTAAGTTTTCATCTTTGATTTGTGGTGAATTTCTTTCTTGCTCAACTCTCAAACACAAGATCCGGAAGGGTACGGATTCGATTTGATTGTTTCGAATCCCCAACAAGATATACCCTACAAGCCTACCCAATCCATATATGTATCCGAATTGGACGTCGATTCGGATATTGAAACCCGAATAAATGGAGAAACTATGATCTTTAGACTCTATGCAAGTTCGTCTCGTAAAGTAACTTTTGCATGCACAAGCGCATAATGACTTAGGTCAATGTATAGAAAATATGTAAGGTACCTCTTATAATTATCAATTGCATATCATGTTCTAAACTCACATAGTAGTTATCACTATACTTGGTTTGCTTCCTGTCAGTACATTCAATGCATTGACTTCCATGACAATGTTCATTGGATCCTTTAAGGGTGAATTAGAAAACCTTCTCGTGGTTTCAGCAGACACCCAGAAAATGCTCATGTCATATCAATTAATTACTCACAAAATGTGATCATACTTAGGAAGAAAATGGGGAAGAAAACATAATAAATTGTAACGTAATCCAATAAAGAAGCCAGACGTGATAGATATTAGATACCCTGACAAAGATATAATATCATCATGAAAAAGAAATAAATCACCAAGAAAATCTAGAAAACTTAAGTGGCTAAACATTTTCGGCATACCAATTGCGGTAGTTATATTTGACGTTGTCAAAATGATCACGTTTGGCCAATTTTTCAATTTGTCCATCTGAGTAAGCAGGGCATTGACAACCTGAAAATTTAATACATAGCATTTTATTTAGTCCAGATGAAGTTTTTCCTTTCCTATAATAGTAAAAGAGAAATGTAGTCCAAATAAATAAACCGAAAATGTCATGTTGTGGATAATGACTAATTGTTCAATTGAGTTAAGAAAGAGAACCCGAATAGAATCTGAAGGCTCAGAGCCAGATAAGGCAGCTTGTCTAGCAGCAGCAAGACTTTCAACTTCATCTGCAATATATTCATTAAAATGTAATCAAAAATGGGGATAACGAGATAGAAAAAATGGTATAAAGAAACATGGTAGAACATTATCAATAAAAACAGTAGAGAAGAAAATAAATTGGAAACAACCTACTGGAAGATTCATATTCAAGCAAAATCAGTGCTTCGAAGTTACCGATTCATTCTAGAGACATGGGGAAAAAAGGTTTAATTGTTATAATATATGGTCCAGTTGTAATACACATAGGTTCTGTTTGGCAAAGGGTTAAGAAGGAGAAAATAATGAGAAGGGTTTAAATAGTTAGCCCATTTGTTAATCCGAAGGGCTAAAATTTCTAATCCATTAGGTTAGCTTATTATAATCCTTTTGGTCATTTTTTGTGTTTGGAAATAAACAGGACTAACAATCACTTTCTTTATAAACAGAAGGGTTCTCTCTTAATCCTCTAAATAAATAGATTTGTAGACCCCTCGTTTCGAGTGGTTAACTCATTTTAACTTCTCTAAAATGGCCCTTCCACTATTTTTTGTATTTAGCATATGAGGGGTTTGTGTTTGGCAGGCTAATGAGAGGTTAACTCTCTTTAACCGTCTGCCAAATAGAGCCATAGGATATAACTAGCTTAGTTACGTACGCCTCTATCTATAATTGGATGCTCTAGATCGATGAAGAATGATAACTATAATATTATGTGGGGACCATATAACAGCTATTCATCTTTAAATTTCAATTTCCTTTTTATTCCTCACATTATATTTATTTATGTTTCAAGTCTTTTTGCTACCTTTCATTTTTCAAATCAAATCAATCTTTTGTTAAGAAATTATATTTATTTTGTTTGTTCCTTAAGCAAAGTTGATGTAGGACAAATTAGATTAGTTAGGATTTTCTTAGGATATGATTTTTCTTTAGTTGAGATTGTTGGTTAGGATTGAATCCGATTCTTAGTTAGATTTATTATTTTGTTGATATTGTAATTTTGTGAGATTTGTTATTTGATTTTATCTATTGTTAGATTTGGATTTTCGTTAGTTCATATAAAAAGGGTTATAATTTTTATTTTAGGAGATGAAAATTTGATATGAACAAAAGTTGAAATCAGCGAGTGAGAGTGAATCTTTCTTAGCATGAAGGCATTGTTTCTAGTTAGCATGTGAATATGATGTGTCCGATATGAAGCAAAATACGATTAGGTGTTGCGTGTGCAACCGGCCTAACCCCAATTTATCTATGTTTTCTTTTTGTTATTTTTTCCCTTTAGTTTTTAGATTTAGATCTACAATTAAAGTTGATCACCTTAGTTCCACATCAATAGGTCAGCTCACTCTGCCAGCTTATCAACATTTGTCCCGAACCTATGAAAATGTTGAGTTTGCAAAGATCTAGTAGTACGATGATCAAAACCGCCCTTGAATATGAAATGAAGCACGTTCGATTTGACATATGTGCATTGTTCTTGATTCATTCTAATGTTTCACTGTGGGGGTAGTGAACCTTTATCCGCATTCAATTTGTAAAGTTCTTGGATCCAATGTTGTTTCACTCCATGTCGAACATGACAAAATAAGGTCGGACCTCAAAGATGTATAAGGCACGAATTTGATAACATATAAGGCACGAATTTGATAACCACATGATTCTACAAAATAAATAATATGGTTGGAAATAAAAGGAAAAGAAAATTTTTAAAGGGAAATAAATATCATGAAGAAATTAAAGAAAATAGAACTTTTAAATGGACATATCACACATGAATCTTATATAATATTGTAGCTTTTAATATTCATCAATCTAGAGCATCCAACGAAGACGAGGTTGGAAACGAACATGAATCATATATAATATTGTAGCTTGTAATATTCATCAATCTAGATCATCCAACGATAAAAGACGAGGTTGGAAATGAACAAATAAAACAAAAAATCATAAAAAACTTGTATTTTCTTACAAAACTCTTTTAAAACTACTTTAGGCATGTTTTAACTTTTTCTTGCTTACTTTTTTCTTTAAATGAGATGATTTAATATGATCTGTAATGAATCAAAAGTATTACTTTCTTTTCCATAATTTCTTACTTTTAGTTGTGGTATCGTAACAGATATATGGTTAAGTCTATTTATAACCAAGAAATCTAAGGTAAGCAAAAGTAGAGAAATAATATTTTTTTATTGTCAATGTTAGGCAATAATTTTGTTGTGTGTATATATGTGAAACAATTAGAAGATAATCATATAATATTATAAATTAGATACATACATAAATTAGATTATAAACATGTCTAGCTTTTTGGAAGTAAACCGTTGACATGATGCACTAGTACTCTGATTTTGATGCTCCCACTAAATTTCCATAATAAATGTAAATGATTCCATTTGTTATGTGTGTATATGTAAAATACTTAGAAGATAAATCATATAAATTAGATATATATGAATAAACTAGATTATAAGCATGTCTGCTATCTTGGAAATTGTTGATGTGACACACTAGCACTGTTATAAATAGTGGTAAATAACGCTACATTAGCGGCGCTAATAGCGTTAGCGGTCCCTTCCCACTACGCTATCGCCCAATAGCGGTGACATATTGTGAAATATGTATTTTTCGCTTGCAAATACGGTTAATAGTGCGTCATAGCAGTGAATAGAGAGCGATTGCGGGCAAAATACGCTTTTTGACCGCTATTTAAAAACGGTCTGATGTTTGTTCTTTTAAAATTAAACTCGTCCTGCAACCACTGCATTCCACCGCCTCCCGCTTCTGGTTTATTCATGTTGCCTCCCACAGCCTCCGACATCTCCCTTAACACTTCCTCTCACTCCCTCTCGCTGTAAGCTCCTTCTACTACAGTCATCTCACCGCTCAGCACATCTTATCGAGAAAGACGACTCTTTGACTCCTCTAGTCGTCATCGATATTATATGACGGTTAGTTATCTATTTCATGTTTAGAATCTCTTTAAATCATCAAATATGTACTTTTAGATTTTTTAGATTTTTCTTAATTTTTTTTAATATGTATACATACCTAAATTAGACAACTATTTGATTTTACGCGTTTTACCGCTATTTTATCGCAATAGCCCCAAATAGCCTTAGTGATGTCTCACTGCTATGCGATGCTATCTTCTATCGATAACCTTGCGTACTAGTCTCTGATTTTGATGTCCCCACTAGGGGCGAAGCTATATAGTGCCCAACAAGGACTTAGACCCCCTTTGATAATTTAAAAGATAATAGGTATCCATATTTATAACTTTTTAAATAATAAGTAAAGTGTAAAATCCAAAAGTAAAAAAATAGTTATTTTCTTCATTTTGCTCGCAAGAACTGAAGCCCTTCTTTTACCACCTCTACAATAGCAAACAAACATTCTTTGATTCCTCCGCCACCTATCTACAATAGCCTCAACTCTCCTCCGGTCCTTGTCTGCCCTTATCCACCCTTCTACGACTACGTTTGTAGCATGCGTTCAGCATTCATTAACATAATCATATTCTGATGCCCATTTGTTTTTTAACTTTCCCTTCTGTTCTAATAGATTGTTTAGGTCTTCGGCTTTGATTTATTTAGTTTTCTTTAACTTTGTCTCTGTTTTTATTTGTTTAATTTTCTCAATATTTTCCTTCTATAATTAATAATTCTATTGATTTCTTTAGGTTTTATGGTTTTAGGATTTCTAACTTTTTCATCTTTTGATTTGTTTAGATTTTAGGATTTTAGAGTTTAATTTTTTTAACTAACTTAATTCTAGTCAATCATAATTATTCAGTCTTAGTAAAACCAAAGTATCAATATCCATCTCAACAAAGTCATAACCCTCCAATTCCTAAACAAAACCAAATAAATTATCACTTTAATCAATAATATATGTGTGTGTGGGTATTTGAAATGATAATGTGTTTAAAACTTTTAATATCTATACATTTTATCTTTTTCAATCATGAAATAATTTCTTAAAAGATCAAATTTCTCCTATTATTGGCAATGATGGTCCCTAATATCGAAACAGATACACTTTATAACACTGATGAGGAAAATGTAATGAAACGATTTCCAGAAATGAAGGCAAGTAGACTGCTATTTGTAAACACTGTGTTTTAATTGGAAATGTGACGAAAGTCACATTATATAATGATCTATAGATGCTAGTTGATTATGCAAATATATGTTATTGTGTTTAATTATCTTTTGGAGCCCCCTTGCTGCCAAAAATATAATATGCAATAAGGTATATAAAGTTTGTGCGAGAAACAAAAGGTGAAATATGATCTAACAGCAAAACAGTAGACTATCATGTTTTAGAGTCTTCCACTATCTTTCATTAGATTGCCTTCTACTTCAAAGAGCACTTAAGAACTTATGTTGGGAAAAAAACCACTAAGGGGATGGAGTTTGCTGACTTCGACTATAAAAGATAGTAGCGTAAAAATCTTTTGCCTGTCCTTTCTTACTTAAGAAAAAAGGTAGGTGGAAGAAAATAACTTAAAATGTCATCCAATATAAGTTGAGAAAGAACTAAAATTGAGGCATCAAGTATCCAACCAAATACGAAGACAATGAACTTTCTAAATAAATACAAAGACTAAAGTAGTGAAAGCAGAAATAAATCCAAGTTCAAAGAGCACTTTACAGGGGGGGAAAAAGCAAAACAAGAGCTATCATGCTTGCCCTATAATAGAGTAGTCGAAGAGAGTAAATAGTAAAATGACCAAAGAAACCATTTCCAATACACAAAAAAAATCTTTTACCACTAAGATAGTCGTATGGTACAAATAACAAGAATAATAATCATGTTTCCTTCTTTGGTTAGAGATCTCAAGGATAGTTATTTGGGTATTTTTCATAGAAATAAAGATCAAGTTGAAGCATGCAGAATAATGTCGGTAACCTCTGTGTAGATTTTTTTTTTACAGTTGCAAATCAAACAGTAATAATCTAGCAACTACTGAATAGATTGTTATCCTTCAATGTATATCCATCATTTCTAGTCTAACTCTTAGAAAAAATTGTCTTAGCAATAACATTAGGTGGAGGTTGGGGAAAACCAGTTGATTAGTATGTTGCAACTTTGTTCGAAATGACTGCACCACAAGAATTTGGCAGAAGGTCAAAATTCTAACGTCATCAGGGTATTAAAATAGTTCGATGTTGAACCATTAGGAATAGCGGTGAAACTTTTAGAAATATATCTAAATATTCTTTACATGTGTACCAAATTGTAAGAGCACTCATATTAAAGATGACTGGTAGTTTTAGTACATTTCAAGGTTATAGAAAGAGCTAGGCAACCTAGGTGTTAGACCCAACATCTAGAGCCTAGGAGGGGGAGCCTAGGTGGGGCCTAGTTAGCTTTTCTTTATTTATTTCTAATTATAATAATTGATAGTAAATGACAATGCTATATAAGGCTTAGGATTCAAACTGAAAACTAAGAGGATTTCTTTCTTTACTTAAGTGGTGGTAGAGGATATTTTATTGAATGTCAGAGGAGGTAGAGAAGGTGTTCATAGGTGGAGGCTGGAGGATATGGGAGAGCACGGAGACTACAATAGAGGTAATCATGGTCAAAGCCTAAAAGGTGCAGTCCACATAAGCATCTCATTCTCCCATAGACGCTCCAACCTAGGTGGAAAGCCTAAGTACCACCTAGGAGCTAGGCTCGCGTCTTAGGTACCACCTAGGCATAGGTGGATGCCTAGGTTGGCTAGGCGGAGATTCTTTAAAACATTAGTGCCTTCTAACCAAATACTAAAGCCGGTATTAGGTTAAAGCCAACTTTCTATAGCTCAAAATTTTTAACTAATTCAATAACACCCCCACACTCAACCAAAACACACATGCACACATAAGGAAGGGAGCATTTGCAAATGTATAATGAAAATAGAACATAAATATCAAGGGAATATATCTTAAGTTCAAGATTATTGAGAACTAATGTCCTTATTGAGAACCAATGTCCCCTTAGTCTCTTGTTCCAACACATTCATAACCACACCTCAAAAGGTTAAGTTACTATGCAAAGGTGAAACTTTTTACAAGGCAATCTCTAATAGATGGAAATGGGCTTGACCAAGCTTGCTCGATTATAAGATACCTGAGCCTCGGAAGTGGTGTCAATTCTTTTTTCAATCTTATCATTTAAAATCATCTTTGTTTGAACCTTATCCTACTTTGGGGGAATTTGCAGGATTGATATTGTTGAGTTTAAACTGCATGGATGTAAAGGAATTGATAAACTGACAGGCCAAACTTGATTTTAAATCTCTATGACGAAGAATTTTCTTGCTCATGGTTGTCTTGGCTTGAAATATAGGACCAACTCATAAGAAATAATCGTAAAATCTTCTTCAGTATTTTTTACTGACTCCTAAACTTGGCTTTCTGCGCCATACCTGAACTCACCTTAGATATGATGGTGACGACCGCTTATATGGACAAAAAAATAAGTGCATGAAAGGAGTGAAAATTTAAGTATTTTGTGGAACTTTTTAACAATACTAAAAGGTGAAAGAAATACAAGAATTAGTCAAACTCACCAATCAAAACAAAAACAAGGTTACTTTCATCCTCTACCATCTCCTGAATTTTCTGGAAAAGCTTCGCAACCTGGAACATGATTCAATTCTGATTCAACATTTATAAGTAACATCACATTTTTTTAAATATGCATAAATCATAAAATGGAACAATAAATGCTTGTACTTATGAGGTGTGGAAGTACTCAAACATATTAACTTCTCAAAATGCCAAAATCCTAAAGATCAAAATGGAATAATCTATGAAACGCATGAATCCATTCATGGACAGAACAAAGTTTATAATTCATACTATAGTCAACCGCAAACCACAACCAATATTTAATTTTAGTCACAACCCACAAGTCTTTTGAAATGGCAATGAGAACAATGGGAGCAAAGAAAATAATTTGAAAGAATATTTTGTGTCAATATAATGGCACACTTACCTCCTATAGCAATGAGCACAACTTGGGCTTTCTAGAAAATAAGATCATGGTGATGGGGCTAAAAATAACTTAATTAAGAGATCTTTTGGCATCAGTGACATTATAGGGCGTTATGGTTTAGAGATCTTTTGGCATCAGTGACATTATAGGGTGTTATGGTTTAAATGTCATTTTAAGTCTTTCAATCATCATTGACACATAAGATCATGAATTAGGGATCTAAATGATTCTTGTTATGAGAGGCAAGGCACTTGAAACTACTCAGGTGTTAATAACATGACTATAGCAGAGAGAAAGGAGGCCAAAGTTTTAGTGGCTTAAGAAAGCTATAGCTATACAAAAAGTTGGGAGAAGCTGCAGAAATTTTCAATGCTTGATTATCACATTTTATTACGCTTTTATACCCACGTTATCTATTTTATTTGAATATATATATTGACTAATAATGAGTTTTTAACTTTATTTTACAAGTAATGTAGAATTAATAAATAAGAGCCCAAAAGAACCAAATTTTCTTAATTTTCTATCATTTATTGAAGCCCAAGATCAAGCCAAGAAGAGGCCCACAAAGTCTAAGAGATTAAGAAAAAATCAGGTTTAACAAGTAACAAAAGAATTAATTTTGTTAGGAACCAATCGGTTAACCAACCGATCGGCCAATCGATTAGCAAATTGATTGGCTAATCGATTGGCCAACTAATTGCTTCGTAATAGAATTAGTTAATGGCTGAGATTTACTTCTTGGAGGTCAAGACAAATCCAATGGCTCTTGTTGATTGTTGTAAGTTACAAATATCAGTAGAGAGTGAGGGATTTGAGTAAAAAAAAATCTAAACTCCATTTAGAAAGGAGGGTTACTTTTAATTGAAAAGACCTTCTAAAAATTATAAATTTTTTATTTACAATAAATAAAAAAATATCTCCTATTAAATTTTCTTTTATTCTTCTTTGATGAAGAAGATGAAGATTTGTTTTTCCTCTTTTATTTTTATTTTCTTTGATATTAAATTTTATTTTATTTTCTTTGTTTTTCCTCTTTTATAAATTTTTATTTTTATCTCCTATTAAATTTTCTCTTATTCTTCTTTAATATAAATTTTTATTTTCCTCTTTTATTTTTTCTTTTAGAATTACATGTTTTAGGATTTTTTTTTTTATTCCATTTTTGGTAGATTAGATTCATTTCATGCTTATAATATATTTTTTCATGCTTTATGGAGTAGATTAATTTTTTTACTCTTTATTGTTTTGATTTTCTATTTCTTTTGATTTTCTATTTCTTTCTTTTATTACTTGTAGTTTAGATTCGCTTCTAGTTCTTTTATACTTGTTAGTGTAGATTTTATTGTATTGCTTTTATTTCTTTATTTTATAATATGAGTAACTAATTCTTATAGGAAATCTAGGATTATATGAAACTAGTTTAATTTTTTTATGGTCTATGGATTGTTTTCTTTATGCTTAAATTGATCATGTTTAGGATAAAACAACTGGAAACTAATTGGTAGAAAAAGGGTTTGATAATCTATGTGTATCTTGAGTATTTTGATAGGTTATGCTTATTCATTTCTGGGATTATTATCAAGTTGCTTGTTCTTTTCATGAATGGGAATTTTTACTTGAATGATAATTTGATAGTGTGTGTCTTTTTTATGTGGTTTGATAACCTGTGCTTAGTAAATCTAAAATAAATTATGATAAAAAGATAGTAGTTCATAAATCCTAATTAAAACTAACTAGTAGATTTAATTCTAGATTCCTAACTTCTCTAGTTGTTTACTCCTCAATCTTTGTTGATTTGATTTTTCTCTCTCCTGATTGTCCTCTTCTTGATTTTATTTTGTTAATTTTTCTCTTCTTCCTAATTCCTTCTCTTTTCTTATTTCCATTTTTCCCTTTTAGTTTCCTCTTTTCATTTTTCCTCATTCTCTCTTTCTTCCCTTTTGTTTTAGTTTTATTTATTTTGTGGCAATTCCCTCTCTAAATCTCTACACATTCTATTTCACTCCTTTTTGACCACCCTTCTGTAGGACTAATTTTAGAATTTTCAAATACACACCTTCCTCGTGGATTCAACATCTATACTGTAATATAACTTGATAGTTGTCTCTTGCAACTTTGTATGTTTTTAACCTAATCAATGCTGCAGTACACGAAAGTCAAAGTGGATAACATAAACTCAGCAGTTGGACCCTAGTTATTAAGGTATAAACTAAACAAATGCCTATCACTTATTGTTTCACCAATCAATGTACTTGTGTCAACCTTAGCCCTAGCTACGTTAACTATGAACTATGAAGCATGATCCTAATAGCCACATGACCAAAATGCTGACTATTCTATTTGTCATTACCCAGGCCCATGAGCCTAGTGGTTCAATGTAAGCCCTAGGAGCAATTAAGTTTGACACATTGTTTGGCTCAAACAACAATCATAAATGTCTAACCATTATTACACTTGATTGGCCCACATTGTAAACTCACTGATACTTTGGTAACTTCCATTGTGGGACTACTAAGTGGGGTATCACAATCACCCCACCTCAAACATATGATTGCCGCATGATAACAATACATCATAGGATCACCACCAAGTGATTTGGGGTGGAAACAAATAAATAATTAACAAATAGTTCGTTAATTATTCGACTGACTATTCGGTCATATTCGATCCGCTAGTTCATTTAACACTAAACAAATAATATTTAATATTCGAGTTCATTAACAAATAGAATTTAACTAGTGGTATATTCGATTCGTTTGATTGTCAAATATTTGTTTAAAATTTGATCGCTTATACTCTGGATCATTACACATATGATTTTATATTTTCAACGAACTTATATTTTCTACTTAACTTCTATATACTAATTTTGACAAGCTTAAAGAATCTTAAATCTATTTTCTAATGAAATATTCGAATTAAATATATATACATATCATAACTATAAAGAAATAATTTTCATTTATAAATTTAAATACTATTTAAAAATTAAATTCTTTAGCAGAATGAATATACTTTGACATTCGATAAATATTCGTGAATATTCATGAATATTTATCAAATATCGAGTATTCAAGTTTGAATTTGAAAAACTGTAGACATGGATATTTGAATTCGGATTCGAATTCGAACAAATACAAATACGAACATCTTAGTATTCGATTCTATTCGTTCATTTACCACCCCTACAAGTGATGTGTATTCTAGAGTTGGCTCATCCGCCTTGTAGAGGTGACTTCCACGGCGCTGATGCAATGTAGTATTTAGTCCCACATAGCCACTTAGTTCTTCATTTTTGGTTGGCTAATTACTTTGATATCATTTGTCACTCCCCCGAGCCCATTGTCGTTATGTCAAACCTAGGACCAATTGAGTGCAACACATTGTTTGACCCATACCCACTGTCAAAAATAACGAGTCATTGTTACACTTGATTTTCATGAGCCACACTATAAGCCTAATACTTCGGCAGCTTCCGCATGTAGAACTAATAAATATATCACACTATCAATCGGAAGCATCTTTAAAAAGTGTAAAGATCATCAATTATTTGAAACTTTAAGATTGCTAGAGAATACAACAATTCTCTAAAATACACAAGATTTGTCCTATGAAGCATATGAGTGATCTAGCTATGTTTCAAAGAGGGGACCAAAAAAATATGGCAAGATAGCCTTATATTTTGAAGCCTCTAGTTAATTAGTCATATGGGGAGGAAATTGGTAGCTCCAATGTTATCAATCTTCATACGTCATTGCAAAATGAGAGAGAATGTGTTGGTCGTTCCATTTCAATTTCATGTTTTTTCCTATATGTACTCCAGTAGCTCCACATTGCTCGAATTTAAATCTAATGACACTTTGAAATTAAGGGAACTTTTTTTAATATTTATTTAGGTACTGGATTAAAAATGATATATTAATTAATCCTCTCATTAGTCTTTCACTATACAAATTCCCCTGTTAATTATGAATATGAAGTCCTGCTACCTGTATATTTTATTTAATCATGCATGTGATTCTTCATAATGTCCCCACCCAAACTTTTTAAGTGAAATCCTTCTTAATTTAAGATTTATGACACTAGAATCAAAGACTTATCGATGATCCTCATTTACTAGGGTTTTTGGATTTCAAACCAATTTTTGTTGAGATTTATTATTCAATCACCCACTTCCAAAAGTACACTCAAAGTATCCAAACTCAATTCTCTTTAAACCAAAGTAGTGTAATTACACGGTGAATGTATCCTTAAAAATGAATATTACCATATCGGTCGTGTGCTAGGAAGGTGCTTGGTACAAAAATTCTAACAAGTTCAAGAGAAATTGTTAAGTTGGGGGTGGTGGTAAAAGTAAAACTCTATAGGCAAGCAAACTCAGAAGTTGTACTAGGATGGATGACCTCTTGAAAACCCGTCGCTAAGAAGTATACAAAGTTCCATGTTGTACAAGAGTGTTGTAGGCGGTTACTTACAGAGACCATACCTACAACCCAACATCATGTGGTGGTCAGACATCCGAACAAGCCTTTGTTAATCACATGGATTATTTTGGCAAGACTGGTTTCTAGATACGGGATGGGATACTATGTCATGGACCCTAAAATGAAAGATTCACGTCAGATGTGTGCTGAAAGTATTTTGGCTTATTATGCTTTCAATGAATTGTTGATCAATCCATGGCTAGCATTGTTTGGGAAGGAACTATGGTAAACACTCTGTAGCGTGCTCTGTACTGCAGTGGTGGAACATGAATTCTGAGAAGTTCTCTATTGGGGCGTTTTACACTTTCACTAACATTATACATAATCTATATATTTTAGCGGTTTATTAGTATAGCCCATGAAATTTATCTGATGTTTTAAAGAATAATATGCGGATGTTTTAAAGAATAATATGCGGAAAGTCGTAAAGAAACCTTGTAATTTTATACTTCCCCTGTCAAAACTAAAGTTCCAAAGAACTGTCCATTTCATCTCGATTTATGACAAGGGAATAGATGTGAAAAGATACACATAGCATTATGGAAAGGTCATGCAAATTATGATTGAAATTCTAAAGATTAGTATAATTAAAGATGGCTGAAGAAAAGTGAAGTGACGAAGCATACCAGTTTACCGCTTTCAGAAAACCATTTGCTAAATAAGGAGTGAGCATTAACTTCGACCAATTGGCATAATGAGTATCTAGTTCAAAACCAACCAAATATTAACCTTTAATGTTATTATGAATAGATTAATAAAAGAAATTAGTAAGTTTTTTTCTTCAAACTACCTTGAACTAAAGCGTATAGAAAGTTTCTGGGCAAGTGCTTTACATAACGATGTCTTTCCAGTTCCAGGGGGTCCATGCAGAAGGATAATCCTACATAACAACATATAATAGGCAGCATCGAATAAAACAAGTTCCAAATCTGCACTGTTTATTTTTCTTGTTTTTCATAAGAAAACAAGACATGCCAACAAGTATAATTGCATCAGTTATAGCTTTTGGATCTAACAGTCATATCAGAATGATGATTTCAAATATAGGTAAGCTGTAAGCTCATTATTACTTTTGGATCTAACAGTCATATCAGAATGATGATTTCAAATATAGGTAAGCTGTAAGCTCATTATTAAAAAAGTGGAGGTTGAGTCATATCAGAATGATGATTTCAAATATAGGTAAGCTGTAAGCTCATTATTAAAAAAGTGGAGGTTGAATAAAGCTAAATTGGAGATGCTGCGTTGAGAAACTAAACAGAAAAGCTGCCACCTTTCATATAACTATAAACTTTCAATGATAAGGGAACCTTCATATGTGAGTAGAATATCAGGTGGTGGAAGAAATATGACACTATAGTTGATTATTAGATGCAATCAAATAGGATATAGAAGATGAACTACAACAAGTTAGCATGTGGGAAGTATATGGTCACAATGGTTAGACAGTTTAGGAGGTAAATGAACCTTCACATTTAGTGATCAAGAAAGAGAGGAATCGAACTTTATAACTTTATGTGTAATATGATAAAATGCAACCATTTGATGATAGGTAGATATAGGAAGGTAAACAGTAACTTCAGACTGAAATATGCAATACCACAAAAAACAGTTTAGGGGCTACTTAAGCTCTAGGCGGTTCAATTAGGCAGCCGTTTTGCAGGTAGAACGGAGCTAGGCAGGCCAAGTGCGTGCAAAGGTAACTCTAGGTGCTAGATACCTGCCCCCTCTACCTGAGTAAAATTGTATAGTACCTTTTAGAGCACTAGGAATATGACAAGCTATAGGAAGAGGTGTTGGAAGTAAAAACCACAACAAAAACCCACCAAGAAGAACTGAAAGGACAACTAAAGCAGGTACCTGTAAGGCATGTCAAAAAAAAAGACAACTAGAATTGATAAACAAGTCACTACACCACTATTTATTATTTCAGATGAAAATTGATCTTCACATTTCTTCCCAGTATATAATATACAAAATCCAAGCGACGATAGTACTCAATCAGTGATTATTACAAAGTCCATTTTAAACAATGAAATAGGGGACATGGTCACATATAGAAGCTTATTTACCGGTTCCATGAAACAAGGCAAGGATCTACACCCTTCTCTGTAAATAGCAGAGCACTAGCAGCATATCGCAGCAAACGTCGTTTGAGGCCAGTTTCATAAATTAAGCTGCAAAGATAATTAAAATTATTAGATATCATAAGTCCTACAGTTTTCAGGGGATGTAATAAACTAATTTTGCATCCCAAACCTTTCCCACATTCCATCAAGTTCTTTAGCAGGTAGAGTCCATTCATTGAAGCTAGAAAGCATCTCGTCTCCACTAGGTTCCTCACCAGGACCATCCTCACTAAGCTGTCAATATGACTTGTAATGTTCAATGGTATATACTACTTAGAAAAAAGAAGACAAAATGTATTGGAATGCACTATCATGCGATGTTGATATGTTTGAGAATGTCAAAAAGCTACCTCAAACTTATTACATGTATAAGTATTGGCATAAAATTTGGCCATAACTGTAAACAGGCAGTAGAAACTTGAGTCATTTATAAACATTTTTTTATGAAGTGAGATCATGGAATTTAGGTACCCATATTATGGAGCAGCGTAAACAATAAAACAAATTAATAAAACGAATTACAGAATGTACTGTGATAAATGGGGAAGGAAATACCATATTTCCAGACACAAGAAACCTACATACTTTGGAACAACGCTAGTATGCAACAGAAGTATTCATATGAAAGTGGCATATGACTTTAGATACTAAGGCAGCAATGCTTTCAACATAGTTAATCATGCTCAGATTTGTGTCATACAATTATGGAAAATCTTCTGTTGGATAGATCAACACATACCTGAAATACATGGACAACTGGCCTGACTTGCCAAAATAACAGTACTTTATGGTTATCCACCCATTCATCTAGGAACAACATTTGAAATTATCAAGACAAGAAAATGAGATATAGAATACAGTATATCAAACAAAGACAGAGTATAAAGCACAAAGTTTACAAAAATTAGTGCACCTGTATCGCATATTAAGATCCGATTCACATTTTCAAGAAGAAAAGATTCATCAAGGGGCAGCGGAACAGGCCCATCGACATAGCTTAAACTCCTTTTTTCAAGCATCCTAAGAGGGAAAAAATACAATTACCAAAAAAAAAGGAAAAAGGTAAAACTGGTAGTTGCGACCAAAGTAGGATGCTCTCAAAAGCAAAAATATGCTTCAACCAGCTCAGAATAAAAAGGTTGAAAATTGAAATAAAAGTTAGCTGCGCAAATATGAATAAATGAGCTTAGCAGCACAAATATGAATAAATGAGCAAGTTTGACTTGCAGGTAGGATCAACTTTTTAAAAAGCTTTCTTGCAACTCCTTTCGAAGCTTTTTGAAGGATAATTGCTTCGAAACTCACAAAAGAAGCAATCTGTGCCTTGAAGCATACACACCATCACTTAAAGCATAATTGAAGTACACGCTTTGCTTTCTATAAAATGCTTCCCTATTGAAGCACATGCTTCAAGCAAAATAGGAGGATGAAAAATGAGTTCCCCTTTTTCTTTTCTTGAAATTGGAAAGCCAAAAGAATCAGCTTACATAATCATATAATATGTTTCCTTCTTTTGTATGCTCAGGAAGAATATTTCTTTCTGCTTATTCAATTTATTTTCCAACAATTCTGAATATTATGTTGATATTTCTCTTTGTGTATTAGGATGATTTTATATTCATATATGGACTTTGACGTTTCTGTTTTTTAGGAGCTGCGCCTATTTCTAGCCCCTTTTTGTCAGGAGTTTTCAATCAATGTCGCCGGTGAGCTTGGTTTTTAATAAGGAAATTTAATTTTAGATCATGTGTTTCTTCAGTATGATCATGCAGTAGTTAAGATATATATCTTATATAAGTAGCTTAATTTATTATGATTTTCATGATTTGATCTATACTTAGTGTTATGGTAATTCACCATCTAAAGATAAAAATATCGAGAAACTGTCTTCATAGGCCCAAAAGAGCTATGGCCCAAACCAGCTTAGCGGTCCAAAGCCCAGCCAAGAACAAATCTATCGACCCGCCGAGTAACGAGTCATCTTTACCGACGCGAAGTGCTGGATCAGTCAACCCCTCATAATCAAGACGACTCATCAAGAGTCCGCCCACCTCATAATCGAGACGACTCCTCAAATATTCGGCTCGACCATCTACTCTGCTGTCTCCTCGGCCAGAAGCTCACTCGACTATCTGGTCGGCAAATCATAGGGACGACTCGAAAACCAACCTGTCTCTACTAAGGGGATAAGATCCAACTAAGCTCCCTTCAGATATACATCAATCAACACTACAGTATTGATCGGTCCCATCAAGATTTTAACTCTGACAAATCTCAAGCATAAATAGCTTACTCTACTCACAAGCCACTTCCCAAATATCACTAAGATATCCTCTCATATGCTCGAATGACTTCCCTTCCAGTCACCAGCCGACATCTGTAAAGTAGAGGATGACTCAGCAGCTTGTCTACTCACCCCATCACCGTCCTCCTGTGCATAGTCAAAGCTAAGAGTTAGAATCTCAAGGTCGAAGGACTATAAAAGGGAGGAAGGAGGGCAAGGTAAAGAGGCTGCTCTTTTTAATCTTGACTCTACTAATAGGTTGGACCTTTATTAAATTGCAGGGATCATTTCTCCCACTTGATCTATTTTTTTTTACTAATAACTCTAAAAGACTACCCCTTACAAGGACCTCAATGGTCCCGGGACTCTCCCTCAAACCCCACTCAAGCTCACCAGCTGACTTGACCATCAGAGGTACCACGGGGGAAACAAGTCCCGCCCTCTTACGGGTTCGTTCTTCTTGTTTATGCAGAAGAATCAGGAATTTCAGTCCAATGATCGGGCATAAAGTCAGAGGAGAAGTCGGCCCCATCTCTCATCTTCTCCCTCTTCTTCATCAGCGGATAGTTCTCATCGATTGTGTGATATCGGACATCAACAGTTTGGCGTTCACCGTGAGGCTCACTTTCTTCTCTGAGAAGATATGCCCAATTCTGAGCAGGGACCTGATCTTGTTCATCCATGAAGAATAACACTGGAATCGCACCATTCAGGTTAAACAAAGCCTGGAATCGCATCATTCAAGCTAAGGAGGATTAGCCTATGACTATGAGGAGCCAACATAGACGCAGCCCTTGAAGGTTTCAACAGCTTTCTGGGGAGTATTTGTCAAGCAGACCATCCACCAAAAGATGGACCCGCTATCAGAACCCCGAGAGCCCTCCTAAGAGAAGACACACCACTATGGTGCTTGTCTGGCTTGAAAATGAAGCACAGACTTCTTATCGCCATCACAGATGAACTCCACCTTTTGGACAGCCAAGGAGCTTGGAGTCGGATCACAAAACAAAACCCCGCCTCTAACAAGAGTTATGATCAGATCCAATATCGCTTAAGCTCCCATCGACGATAGCTCATTCGAGCTTAGGAGCAGTGATCAAGTTTGTAGCAGGCTCCTCGGACCATCACCACCTTCAGAAGAGAGTTCCTACTTGCTAAGGATGAGATAGCGGGAAAAACTCGGAGGGCCACCTGATAATTACTTCCTCAGGAAATCCAGCCCTGGCCCCCCGGCAGAAGTTCGGACCACCAAAGCCGAAACAAGCACTGGTGGTCGAAGCATGCGACTCGCACTCTCCCTACAAGAAGGTTCCTCCATTCACAGGATGGTATAGTCGTTGCTATTCCTGAAATCCCTAAGGGAAAACTATGATCCCATCAAATTCCAGGGAACAAAGCACCGGCGTCTGGGATTTCACCAATAAGAAGCTCACATCACAAAAGTTGTATGGCCTCCACCTGTTAAAACACCGACCTCCGAAGGTTCAATCAACAGGACGCTGGCCATATAGGGCAACCAACAGTGGTGAAGCAAGATCTGTTGAAAATCAGCACATCCACCGTCGGCCTGCAAAGATCTCAACAAATATTCAAATTCAGAAAGGTCATGACCGATGAGATGGCAAATATGTCGACAACTCAGCGACGTCTAAAGCCAAACAGTTCGCCCTCAAGAAAGAGAGCAACATCCGACTCCAGATATTCAATCGATTGGCGACTTAGTGTCCTAAGTCACACAACAACAAAGATGGCCAATAAAGCAGCGACTCGTCCTCGTCAAAACATGAATGTTCAAAGACGACAAGAAACAACCAAGGAAGTTCCGTTTCGGTGGTCTTGTCCTCTGCAAAAGGCGATCTTCGAAATACATATGAGCGGAGAACAAGAATTCGACGTCATTCAGACGTTAAATGTTGATAAGTTGCGCTTCATGATGTACAAATTTCAACAATCAATGAAAGTTAAAAAAACATCAAAGACCTAGCCAACTCTTAAGGGTTCTAGACATTCGGCTTCCTAGTCGGATTTGAAAGACCTTGGCTCCTCATCAATATAAGCCCAAGGCACAACGATTTCTCAGTCAGTAAACAAGACATTGGCTCATTATCAGGATAAGCCCAAGGCACAACGATTTCTCAGTCGGCAACCAAGCCATTTGTAGGCATCAAAAATTGCCTATAGTTCTCCACAACCGGTTCAGTGTTAACGAGCGACGATGGACGTCACCACCCAATCCACATGAGCCTAATCGACGTCGACGAACGACTAAAGTGAATCGACGAGCTACATGAGCGGATAGGACTTCGGAATCACGAAGACCCGGACCAATCGGGAAGCCCGGCACTGTTCACAAAAAGGACAACGCCCTTCATGCCTCGACCACTTTACAGATAATCCAATCACCAGAGCGGGTCAAACTCTTCGTCGCGCATCCAACGCACCCGGAATCACTCAAATCCGAATCCGGACGAAGAATATACAGGGGAAACAACTAATACACCTAAACGGAGTCCCGGCGTGGCGAAACACCCCGGGGGTGTCTAGGAAAAGCCTAGACACCCCAGGGGTGTCTCGGCCTGGCCGAGACACCCCTAGGGTGTCTCGGCCAAGGCCGAGACACCCCAAGGGTGTCTCGGCCATGGCCGAGACACCAGGGGGTGTCCACGCCCCCTAGTGGTCCCTAGACCCCCCTAGACCCCTCTAAACACTATAAATAGCCCCGTACATACATGTCTTCCGCTGTGTATTATGCATGTAGACATAGCACGATTTCCTTCAGAGACACCCCAAGGGTGTCTCGGCCATGGCCGAGACACCAGGGGGTGTCCACGCCCCCTAGTGGTCCCTAGACCCCCCTAGACCCCTCTAAACACTATAAATAGCCCCCTTGGGCCTTTGGAAAAGGGAGGATTTTTGGAGAGCTTGGCGAAGCCCTGCTGCAGTGAAGAGTGCCCGTGTGCTTCAACAAGAGGAGGAGAGGCCTTGATCAGAGCCTTCATCGCCCGTCAGATCCTTAGTATCGGCCTTAGCGTTGATACTAAGAAGAGCTATTACCTCGCTTTAGCCGAGGTATACGCTTATAGCTTCTAGATCTCACGCGGATCGACGAAGCTCTGCTTCTATATCCCTCCGCGGATAGACGAAGCTCTGTCCGATTTATCCGGATCAGAAAGTTTCTAGATCTCACGCGGATCAACGAAACTCTGTCCGATTTATCCGGACCAGATCTGAGTGCCCCGGTGGTCCACGGATATCAACATCCCCGTCACAGGCAAAAGACCCACGCAAGCAAGAGATGACAAACAGATCTTGCGTTTGTTTGAAAAGAGTTGTATTTCTTTTGTTTTCATTGTGTACCGGTCTTATAAAAAGGCTATCTTTTTATTTCATTGTAACGATTAAAGTTGTAATGAATGCAGCAATGAATACAGCAACTTTTTCCGCAAACACCATTGGCTCCTTATCAGGATAAACCCAAGGCACAACGACTCCTCAGTCGGTAACAAAGTCATTGGCTCCTTATCAGAGCAAACCTAAGGCACAACTAGTGATCGATTCATTTGGCTCTCATCGACTATCATGGTCAAGACTTTTGCTCCTCATCAGGATAAGCGCAAGGCACAACGACTTCTACGTCGATAAGCACGACTTTGGTTCCTCATCAGGATAAGCCCAAGGCACAACGATTTCTCAGTCGGCAACCAAGCCCTTGGCTCCTCATCAGGATAAGCCCAAT